TTTTCAATAGTTATCACCTGGAAAAGCAAACATACAAACCAGCAAGAAAAGGAAAAAAACGACTAAAGAAACGTTGGTAGTAGCAGCAGCGGCAAAAGCAACAGCAGCAGGAAAAACAACAAAAACAATCACCCTCCCCCTCTCCCACAAAAAAAACTGTATCAGTCTTTTTCTCAATTTTTTTTTTTGTCTTCTTGCGCACTTTGCACTTCAAAAATGGCTTCTAAACAATTCAATACAATTGCATCAACAAATAATACATGTAAAACGAAGCGGGGCCAATAGCACCCAGTGTATGTGTATCTGTTTGTGTATATACATAAATTTCCTCTTCACTGATTCTTTCTTTTTCTCCTTTTCAAAAAATTTCTTTTCTAGAAAAACTGAGAAAAATAGAAGGCAGGGAACAGGAAAAAAAAAAAATGATTTACTATATTTGGTTACGTTATTGTTAGTATGTGCGTAATTTTTTTTTTTGTCAATGAACGGTCAATTATCGCGTCCCGTTTACAGGGGTACAATAGCAACAAAATAATTTATCACACTTATAAACACTAAAAACCAATAACATACAACAAACATCACCACCACTATTACCACTTTCAACATTAACCCTCTACCACATCAACACGTCCATTATTTGTCACCATGGCAAAAAAAAAAAAAAATGTGGAAAAGAAAAAACAAGGAAAAAGCATAAGCACCAAAAACAATATATAAATAGTAAAATTTGAGCTTTACAGACGCCGTGAAAGTGTTGAGAAATGCGGAATCTGTACGTTATTCGAGTTGTCTGGGATGATAACAGAACAGCAAGAAGCCTTCAATAAGCACAACGTTCCCCTATGGTTTCAGAGTAATGGGAAAATTAAAAAAGCATACGTATAGGAGAAACACACATACACACACACAAACAGCGAGAGCACAATTAGATGTGGTGATGCGGGGAATTATAGGGGAAATGTGGAGGGGGGGGAAGGGGGAGACCGAGGGGAAAACCACAAGCAAAGTTGTTCTGGGCAATTTGGCTTGCTGCCAGATGACGTTATGTATTCAAGGCAACCGGTGCGCTCATTCCATTGCTCTTTGTAACGACAACGGCACTGTTTGGTCATCAACTCAACGTGTGAACGGTACACGGCTGCCGGTGACCTAGTGGATAGTGTGGGCATGTGTTGGCAGCTGATCGAAGTGCTGAAGTTTTTTTGACCGGGATTTAGCATCGGTAACAAAATTGCACCTGTAGTGTGTAAAAGTTAATTGTTGATTTTCGC